GGTAAATTGTTCGCATTGAAGAAGGCTCGAAATATTCCGCAATAAACGAACACACTGTTGTAAACGGAATGCAAAGCGCGGCGAGTATGCCTACTTCATTAGCGGGCATCGTTGCTTTCTCAAACGGAGCATCGGCTTATTATAAGCCGTCGTAATTGTATATACGGTATATCTCGTCTCACCCTCGACAGGCATGCCGGTCGCTTTAGGCTTTCTATCAAAGAGCTTGCAGTTTAAGAACCGGAAGGAAGAGACGCGGAGCGAGATGGTTAGAGGCGCATGGAAGCAGTCGGCAGAATGGCCCTTTCAACGGAGACACTTTGCACCTGTTGAAGGTACAGCCACTCCTCGATCTTGCCAAACTCTCCCGCGTTCAAAGTGATCTCCAACCTCTGGCAGTTACTAGAAAAACGTCGGCAAATTCCACCCCCTCTTCTAGCGCCCGATTTCGTTTCGTTGACGTCTCGGAAATTGGTTTTCGATATGAGTCGCGACGTAGGTATCCCATTGTTCCTTGTGCGTGCGACAGCTGCTCGAAAAACGCGTCTCGCATCCCCTTTATATTTTTTTTTTTACACATGTACACTTTTCGTAATGGCTGATACGAGAAAGTGTCTAAAGTGGTCGGCAAAGGAGGTGTAAATTATAATCGTAAATCGAAGGAAATTTAATATTTAACACAAATATTGATTATGTTGCACGAAAAATATTTGAATGCAAAATATAAGAAGAAAATTGCAACGCTATTGCATATTGATATTCCAAAAATATTGTATCAATGTTATTTGTGGTTGTCACAAATATCCATTGCATTCTTGCAACGTATACATATATTTACAAAACTGCATATTGCAACTGCTTCATTCACTTTCTGCTAAAATATAAAATTTTGATTGTTATAATAACGATTAAAATAGCTAAAACGTGTAATAATAAAATGCATTAATTAGAATAGATTATCATAATTCTTATTCTAACGCTATAGAAGCTATTATTTCAATTTTATACGATTAAAATACAACATCCTTATTGATACAGTATCTCGTATTCGTACACGTATGTTAATGCGATATGTACATAAAATCATTGGAGAGAGAAAAGATGTTAATTATGCGGACGGCGGGGCTGCTCCCGTTCACGAGGAAAATTTGGAAGAAAATGAACGGGCGCGCATCGCCCGAAGTCGCGTCGTGTACCGTGTCCAGGTAGACGTATGCACGGGCCGTTGCGCGTTGAGCTTGCGAAAGCAGCCAGAGGCTTACACTTCCGCAAGCTCGCTCGTGGTCTACGAGCCGTGTCGACTACCGCGCCGGGGCGAAGTGCATTCGATGTTCGCAGTTCGCTGCCATGGCAACAATCCCCCTACAAACAAAATGCATCGTGTGCACACGACATACCACGGTTCTCCTTGTCGCGCCGGTGCCCACCCGCCGCGCGTTTAGTCGGCACGGAAGGAACCGTTGTCGGGGTGAAGAAATGCCACCGGACAGGACGAGACACGACTGTAAATTCCGAGCGAGTGTAGGGAGAGTACGGGCGGCAGAGCGGAGCAGCCCCCGTGTGCTTTGCGAGATAAATCGTCCGGCTAGTCCCGCGTGCACTCGCACGGGAGTGTCGAAAGGGGACACCGGTGAGCACGCGATCGGCGCCGATGATTAACGGTCGATTAAAGATAAGCGCCGACTGTTCGTTTTGCTACGTCGACGTGCTAGCGAGAGATGTTGTTACGTGGTTAACACTCTCGCGCGATCGATGCGAGAGAGAGAGAGAGAGAGAGAGAGAAAGCACTTGCATTGTATCAATGAATTTCGAACGTCGAGTTTCCATTTAGATATTATAACGTTACTGTAATTAATAATTATCAAATAGTATTATTATATTATTATTATAAACTTTATTGATTATATCAATTTTATGCCGAGAGGATTTCAACTCTAGAATTTAATTTAAACTAAAGCTATAATAGCGTTTACGCGCGAAACTCTCACGTGAAACATCATGTATTCATGTTTTGTAATATCTTGCTTCTATAGAAAAACTATTTTTTTTTTTTAATTTTAAAGAAGCATAAAAATGTAATGCAAAATTAATACCTAATCAAACCATCACATACCAATGCTCAAGCTCGTATGACAATAAAAACAATGATAAATTATTAAATTAAGGCCATGTGTAACGAGCACTCCGAGTTTTTATTAATAATTCTAAAATATTTTATGAATAACCGGACGAATCATTCTGCTTCTAATTGGGTTCTTACTTTGTTGAACTATTTTAATGGTTTCAATTCATTGTAAATATATTTTGCGTTTTAACTATGACTTAACTATATAACTTATATTGACTATGTATTGCGGATTTTTTATTAGAATTTTATGTATGTATTTATTTATTATCGTTATTTATTATCATTATTTTTTTTTGCGCACTGAAGAGGAGCAAGTAGAGCTCGAAACGTTTGTGTAATTATTATTTCAAATTAAGAATTTTCTTCTAAATAATAAAATAATATCGTATTGCTCGTTACACATGGCCTTAATTTAATAATTTATCATTGTTCATAAAAATGTATAATTTTTGTCATGCAATATATATGTATATCGTTTCCTAATATCGACACATCTTGCTATTTCAAATAAAGAACGTGGACCGAAAGAAATAGTAATCACATAGTCATTTGTCGCATCTATCCGTCTGAAAGCGACGTGGCCGATGAAGGAGCGACGCGACGACGTATCCTCTTAAACGTCACGGTGACATTTTCGTGAATCCATATGTATTAGAAAATCCAATATAGAAAGGAAAAGCATCGCGAGGGTGTAGCGGAATCGCGTGAGCGAGAGGGAAAAGATAGGGGAGGGTGACCGAGGTCGTGCCGAAGGGAAATGGGTAGAGAAGAGGAAAGGTCGGAGGAGGAAGAGCGACTGGGGTTTAGTGAAGAGTAAAGAAGGGAGAGAGAGAGAGAGAGAGACGACGGAGGGAGAGAAGAGGGCATAACACAATTACATGTGGGGTTGATGCCGGGGCTCTCTTCGTACGGCAGAGCGGGAAAGAGGGCCCCAACGGTGGGTGGCAAGATTGAATATGAAAGTTTAATGCGAGCAATATCAGCGCCACTGCCCCGGCTACTCACTCTCAGACGTCTCGGCTATCACGGTGCCCATCTTGGCCGTATCTCTCTTTATATCGTGAGTGCGCCTGCAACGGCGGCTTCGAGCAGGGAGAGAAGCGGTAGACGGCAGAAAGCACTTCGAATCTTTGATGTCCCGAGGTAACCCGCAAGTCGCCTCGAGCTTGTTCCGCGCTCGCGCGTAGCTCCTCGTCCTCCCTCGATCTGATTTGTCAATCCGCGGTCGCGCGTCGCTTCCGACGATCGCGTTCATCTCGATGCAAACAACATTTAGAACGCGAGGCAAAAACGCAATTAACGCCCTCGTTCAGTCTCTTTTTACCGCTCGATTATCGATTTTTAGTGAGAAGTGATAGAACAAAAGATGATAGCGCGAGATTGTCAAAATTATATGTTCGATATTTTTTTATTTGCGCTTAATTTAGAAATTAAAAAATTAATGTGTGTACCTACATACTAAAGCTTTTGATCGCAATTTCCTAAAATATTTTTATCCATTAACAACATAGTATAACATATCGCGAGATGTCGTCTATCTCTTTCCCTCTCGCACGAGAAATAATTATCAATTAAAAAGTGACTTTTGCATACAGATACTCTGCTCGTGAATGGGATTCACGAGCTCGCTAAAGCGTTTAGTGACTACGCCTTCGGCTATTTGTAAAACTTTACTCATTAATTACCGACAAGATTCGATCTCGTTCTCCCTTCCATACAAAACTCCCACCCCGATCTTTTCCCACTATGATTTTACCCCTTTGTCCGCCACAACCAAGTTTAATAGTGAATTAGAACGTGCATTCCTACAACCGGCAATTATCTGCCAATTAACAAGGCCGAACGCGTGATATCGCAAAGTCATTTGCTTCTAATAAAAGGATGTATATCAAGTATATACGCTACTTTTCTTAATTACTAAACTTTCATCGAATATATATACACACTGAAGACAGATTCCGAAAATTGAAAGTAAAAGTAATTTTACGATAGCGTTCTATCATCGACAGAAGGGTGATTGAGAGTGTGTAATATGTCACACAGAGAAATTCCTTCTTCGGTGCGGCTAACTATATTTTCTCACTCTATCCTTTCAGCGTCATCCCTGCGTATCTTTGAATATACCTCAAAGAAATAACTCTCGGTACACCTTGTACGTCAACGTAGTTAAAAATACAGCCGTATCTATATACGTACGCGCATTGTGCGTGTTAGTGTACCGAGCACACCGGCATCTCTTACGGTAGAAAAGTCTCCTCTAGTCCACACTTCTTATGTTCCGCTATCGCGCGCACCGAGTAATGCACTCTCTCTCGGAGTGACACTATTTTGGTGACAAGCGCCTTTAACAGTTTAGATGTGTGCCAGCTTAAGCAAATGTAAATCAGAGAGGCACCGCGCGATGAAATGTTGAAATCTGACAGAGAGCTGGCGGAAATGTCGACTGACGATAGAGGTACGGAAAAGCTAGGTAAACAGTAAAATCGCAGCGGAGGATCTGTCTAAAACGGAACGATGGTTGCGTTCATAAAAGACTCGCTGTTTCCGAGATAGGTGAAAAGATAGATGAGATGCACATTGTTATATGTGGTATCATCATGTGTGTTCGCGGTAGTCCGCAAAAGTAGCCTACTACGGGTTTAAAGAACTCGTAGATTAAACACGATAAACGTCTAACTCACACCGACAAGAGAGTTCAATATTGCTGATATAACTGCAGCACATGCAAAAATCAATCTTATTTAATTAATGAAAAAATGAAGAAATAAAGAATTAATTTAAGAATTTAAAAATATGATATGTTATATATCTTGTTGAATATGCCGAGTTAATAAAAATGAACGACATTGACGTGTGATTAATTTGTACGCAGATGCGGGAGACAGATCGTACCGTACGGCATCCGACACGGAAGGCGCAGCAACCACGGACAATCCAACAACGCCATTCCCTACGCCGCCCCCAACCTTGACACCGAATCATCGGCAAGCTTCTCCGTTTCCCCTCGAAAGCACAAACTCTCGCCGGCATCATTATAACGGCAGCATATCCTCCGAGAGATCTCGCAACGGCAATGGTAGGGAGTTAATTAGAACCGCGAACGGGTTGTGCGGTGCGCACGCAAGATGATACTTACGGGCTCACCGCAAGATGAATCTCATCAAACGCAATTTTATACTGCACATTACAACTATAACGCGTGCAAGATGAACTCTTTCCGGGAGGGAGAGACGATAAAATGATAATCGATATATGACATATAAGTATAATACATAACAACTATATCATTTCAACTCGTTCTCTAATATGACATTTCATATTCATCTTAGATATTAAATGCCTTTAGTCGCGCTAAAAAATTTTTGTCCAAACACTTTACATATCTCACTGCAATCGTTAAAATATTATTAGAATTTATAATTTTTAAGACGGAATATACAAAAGTTACTTGTTAAAAGTTAAAAGTAAGCTTACACGAAAAATGCCTTCGCTTAATCTTACAAATAATTTCGCTTCTTTAAAAGTAATTTCGGAAGGATTAAAGGGATTCAAGAATTTTCTTTGTCCACGCGCTAATGGAAGATTGAATTAAGCGGCACGACTCTCGCTCGTTAGCAAAACCGGCGCTCTTACCTAAGGGAAAGAACTTCTTATCCGGCTATTTAAAAATATTTGTATCTTCTTCTCATTGCAGATACCGTTTACGCGGCGCCCGCAAAAAAGACGACTTCCGGCGGCGGTACCCTAGGTCGAAGAACACGTCGAGGTCACGCAAGCGCTTTGAGCAGTAGTTCTACCGCGAGTGACCGTTCTGAAACTGTCTTCCCCGATGAACACACTCGCATACATCTCACCAACGGTGAGGCAACATGTTTGCATTTTTTTTTCATTTTCGCGCATATTATTGCACATAATTATTTTCATACGCATGACCATCGCATCATATCGCATGCCATTCGTATCGTTGCTCGAGACGAGTATTGGTAATATTATTGAATCCCAATAAAGTGAGAAATATAAAACTGGTGCGTTATTAAAGATTTCGACAAAGAAATCGATACAATTGCGAAGGATCAGAATAAATTCTTGCCGATCGCCCTGAGCGGATCGACCCTTTAAATCACGACGTAAAATTTGCCGCGGTGCGATAAGTTAACGATCCATGCCTCAAATGCGATTACTGGACTAATCGAGTTACTGGCTGGTATCGAGCCCCTGGCCGAAGTTAAATCGGGTTTTGAGCAAACGTGTTCCTCGTTAAAAGCTTAATATTAATAGTCATTCAGACACGCTGGCGGAAAAGAAGAAATCATATGTGAAATTCGATATTTACGAATCTTACACATTTTCTCGTACCTCTCGAGAGACTTTCGCTATAAACGTGCAGCGCAAGCGTAATCAATTATTCGAGATTGTACGTTTACAAAGCATTTTCAACCTCGATCTTTTACAAGCTCCGCGCACAAGATGTAGTTACTATTATTAATCAAAACAGCGATTCTCATCTACGCACTATCTCAGCAATAACTTTGACGCACAAGAAAACGCGCTCTCTGTTGTTAATCTTATCCTAAAGCAATACGCAAATATAGGTACGTAGCCGCGGTACTAATTACAAATATCGTTCTCATTACGAGCATCCCTCGTCTCGCGCTTCCCTTTAACACACATGCGCGACTGTGAAGCTTCGCGAAACAAGCCAAAGGCGAAAGATCTTGGCAAAGGGAAACATTTCTGGAGCCCGCATTATCGTCCGGCGAACAATGCCGTAATCGACAAACTAAATTATGCGCCGGCTCATTAAATAACTATAGGACCTTCTATTTTGGCAGTTAGGTTTATTGTTGTCCGATACACGTACCAACGGCAACACCAACAGTGTCGGTAACGGGCAAGGCAATGAGAGCGCAACGCGAACGCTGGAGGAGAGAATGAGAAAGATTCGAGCCCGAAGGGCTAACGGAGTTAACAGTTGGCCCCCGAGCTCGGCTAGTTAGAGAGCATACTGTCGAAGTTAGCGTGCGACCCCGGCGACTATATTGTTTCGAAACGTCAACAGTATTTAGGTCTCTCGTCGTTCCCGAGCTGTGCGCGCGCGCGCGCGCTATCTTAGCGTCGTCTCACCGTATAACGCCAGCTCTCGCTCTGCCAGCAGAGAGACGAGAGAAAGTAGCTTTGTGGTTTTGAGGAGCCGACGCGGTGGCCGCGGTCGACGAGAGCGGCTTACGCTCGTCGGCTAAGTTTTAAACGAAATTTCGCCGGATCTCATTTCGTGCCGACGCGACGTCGATGTGGTCACGTCGGCTTCGAGGGATGCTGGCTGCCAATTAGTCTCGCCGATATCGCGAGACGACGACGAGATCATGGATGGATGAAAGGGCGTTGAAGGATAGTCGGGTGGAAAGCTGGCGCAAGGGAAGATGAGGAGCGAGCTTCCACCATCGCACACCTCGTAGACGGTTATCTTCGGAATTTCAGTTCTTCGAGGGCCGCATTTCTCCCGCTCACCTGAGTGCGCGATCGCATTATTCACGTTAGGTTCCGTAGAAATTAACGACGCGGATTAAGCTCCTGACGTTCACGCGCGGGCATTTGCAACGCGTGCGTTTTGATACAGCTATACATCGTATGTATATAATACATATAGTATATGTAAATCAAACCAAGATATATCATGCATAAAGATAGAGTAATCTTGAGGAGGGTGGTGTGAAGTTTTTCCCTTCCATTTTTTTACTTTATCGTTTTTGATCATTTTCTTTCCGTGATTTAGATTTATACGTTATTTTTAACAATTTACTTTCACAATTTCAGTTCTAACAAAATATTAATTATTGATATTTTTCTATACTGTAATTTTTTGATGCAGAATATAGTTATATAATATACGTGTAATATAACCGAAGAAAATAGCGACGATAACAAGCAGTGTTATATAAAATGCGGCGAGATCCCACGTATAATTACCAGGATCTCGTAAGCAGTAATTCGAGTCTGAATCTCCGATGGGATATTGCTTGCCAGTATGTCCCTGCGGTCTAATGGAGGCATGTCGCGGCATCTATTAGCAAATGGCTCCCAACGGTCAGAGCTTACCCGCGTTAACCCCGCGTGCGCACCATCGCCAGAAAGACGATTGATATTACATTAGACCGCCGGTAGTCTAATGTGACCCAGTCTAGGAGATCGTTATTGAATTGGTGTACGCGCGAAACTCGATAACATTACATTACGTTAATTTACTATCACAAAGCATGAAACACATTCGCTAAATAGGTGTATTTATCGTCGTGAGATAAAAAATTAACACACGTTACTTATAATCCTCTACAAGTGTTGACTATCTGTACAGAATATATAGACTACTTTAGATTAACGAATGTTAGACAAACTGATGAGTAAATAAATATGAAGAAATATAATTTTATTATAAATTTAAATTTGTTATTTGTTAAATTTTTATTTTTTATTTTTTATTTCTTTATCCGACTATTAAGTTATCAAGTTCATGAAATGTATATGCAATTATATCAATTAATAAAAAAAATATAATTGTTGTAAAAATTAATAATTGCACACACCACGTAAATATACGCAGAAACAAATCACTATCGGTGAAAAATAAATTTTCCGCGGGTTTTCGCAATCGTTCAATGATGGTTGGTAATTTTTGACGGGCTCTGATGCGGGTTGTTGCATTTAATGCCGTGGAACGAATCACGCGCACCAGCAAGCTTGATGCTATCAATTCGTCCGATTGATGTAGGTTTTATAGTAGGTTCTGCATATATATATATATACATAGACATATATATATATATATATATATATGTGTGTGTGTGTGTGTGTGTGTGTGTGTGTGTGCGTGTGTGTGTATTACACACACAAACAAAATAAATCCGCGCGAAATCAATTGACTCATATAGTCGAGCAAAAGATTTAAAAAATCGTGCATCGCGACGAATGTACGTCAATATTTTTGATAAATGATTGATAACAGGATAGAATAAATAATTTATTGCTTAAGAAGACAATGCGTTTAATAAAGAACAGTTAATTCGCATCACAATTCTAACGGTAATCGAATACTTTTTGTTACATTGACCATTCAGGAAGCTATATGCAAGTGTGTCTGCTTGGATAAATGCCAGGTTTCGCCGAATAGGAATAATTTGAAGCACCACTTGCGAACTATGCCAATAGTCCGTGTTCGCCATTACCGTTATCGTTCTTTTCTTTTTATTGGGTTACCTTTTTCCGGACTGAATATCTGTGACAACGCGAATCTATTATTACATTTAATCGTTTGCAATGCGATCTTTTAATTATTCGTATAGAGTGAGAGAGAACTCATGGATTCATCACTTTTTAGTGTTATTACAATACGTTAAGATAAATAATTCAAATAAAATGTAATCAATACGCCAGCTTAATTGTCGTAAATTATCGTATAATGCTCGGATTACAGCGACGTGATATTTATGAATTTTTATAACCTTCGCGAATTCATTGTCATAAAGTTTATTTTATAAATGAAAAACTTTACGTTATTTCGAATATATTTGATTACGTTTTGTCGATTATTTTTTTGATAACCAGAAAAAAAGATTTAAAGGCACTTTCGTTGGTCAAACGTACAGATGAGTCGGTAACACTACTTCACTTTTGTATTGAAAGTCCGAAAATACAATTAAAAAATCGTTAAAAACCTTGTTAAAATTGTTAAAAATTGTTAAAAATCGTTCTAGCAATTCAACAACATGGTAGTGTGCATGGCTGGAAATGTGTGTCTTGCGCGAATGAAGGCGGCGAATGCGGTACGCAGAAATTGTACGAGACAGTTCGGACGAAGCATTCACGAATGCTAACTCGGTTTATTAGACTGTGTTTGGTCCGGAAGGAGTCAAGCCGGAACGATTCGTCGGACTGGTCATCGGACAGTACCTACCATCGCGGCAATACTCCGCGCTCTGGCATAGTACCGGCAAATAATTCGTATTTACATGAACGTGTACTCTCCGACGCGGAGGCGTTAGACCGACAAATCGAATTACAGACGCGAATCGCTAACCGCATCAAGTCACTGTCGGCTACCTTGCATCCCCTTGCACTGTCTGACTAACCCTTCTCGCTGCCCGCGGACAAGGGATAACTCGGTTGAACTCGGTATCGGTGATGCGCGCGCTACATAATTGGCTCTCAACGATTGGCCAAGACATATCGCCCCGGCGACGTTATATTGCTCAATAATATGTCCAATTAAATGTCGTACTAATCCAAATAGCTATATGTGTACGCGTGTCACGTCGGCAATAACAATCTAAAGCAATATCGATAAATTTCGCTTAAACATTATGTCAAGAAAGTTGGGAGGGTTTAATTGGAAAATGTTTAAACAAGATGTTTTAAATAATTTAATTTTGTTGTGTGATAAAAAAATATATATTTATTACTAATATAGATATCTCGTAATATTTAAAAATTACAACTAGTAAAACTAATAATTACAGTTATTATTAAAACGTGACTTATATATGTGATTTGTGATTAAAATTGTTTAAGATTTACGATTATTGAACGTAAAATAAGCAAAACAGTTTTTTAACTCCTAAAAAAATATTTATTAAATTGGTAAATGAATGAAACGAATCTTGATTCGAATTTAATAAATGTAAATTCAACGAGTAAGCTATATACATATGATGTAAATAGCGAAATCTATATTATAGAGTTATATCATGTTCATCATTTTGCGGAATGAAATTGCACTGCGCCTATCGCCATTAGAAACTGCATGATTTATTTTGCGCGTTATGTAAACGCTAACCTATGCTTTATGAGAGACAGTAACGCGGTTTGACCACTGGTCAATGATGTACCAGTATTAGCCATAATTGGCTGGAATCGTATTGATCTAACCTTCACATGCGGGCAACGTTATCTCCTATCCTTGCTGCGTTTAATTAGCTATGCTGACAAATTTACATACACGGCACAATAAGTCATTTAGTAAAATATTTATGCGAAAATCTGTAAATCTAAAGATTTGGATATAAAATAAATAAAAGAGAAAATATAACATATCGAATACATTGATATAAATACATGAGAGAGAGAGAGAGAGAGAGAGAGAGAGAGAGAGAGAAATGTTTGTTATCAATATAATTAATCCATTAAAAATTCACTCAATCATAAAATTCCCCAGCACTTGTGTCGAGATTTTTTCTTTTGGCAATTTAACTGGCGAAATAAATTTAAATGGTTTTTACTCTTTCACCCATACTCCGACAATTTAGCGTTATATTCACAGCGTATTTCGCAATTTCAGAAGAATCTTCCTCAAATATGTACCTTTACCTCGGGCTTTAATTCGGTACTACATCACGCCGCGTACGCATGTAAAACGGTGTAACGATCACGAAGCCGAAATGATTCCGTAGTGTGTACTATATTGTTATAAGTTGCATAAAGTAACACGCTGTAACGATTCGAAGAGGGCAGTGGCCCTCTCTCTCTCTCTCTCTCTTTCTATCGCGATATCGGCAACCCCGAGATTTTTCCTGTCCATCGTCGATGCGATATCGACTTTGTAATTGAGCGTTACAGGTGTTTCGAGCACTCGAACGGTGCCGGCAAATTGTTCAATATAACTGGAACAAATGTATATTTCGACGGTAAAGTTGTCCGAGGTATGCGATGGACGCGGCTGGTGATGACAGCTACGCATTGCGCATTTCACGGGTCAGTTTAATTAAGCGATTATGACCGCTTATTACGGAAAATATCGACGCCGCTCCCACGTGACTTCGCAGAAATAATTCCTCTATCGCGTTTATAATTTTTGCGATTAATTTGACTTCGATCTGGCCAAGTGATAACGACGAAAATTGTCGGAAAATCTAAATAGCTTCGGTGGTGCAAAGCGTTGTCGAGAGGCGAAAGAGCGTATTGCAATTGTATCATTATCGTGCGATTCACGTACATGATGATTGCATTAACCTTCAATGTCATCCGGTTCAATTGCATTCTGATATGCATTTGTGATATATTTCATCTTTCGCGTGAATTTATTAAATTAATCACGAAATAGCACCTTCCTTTCCCTCTGGTATATTCACTTTGCGCATCAATTAATTAATGGAAAATCCATAATCCTGTCGACGAAGAGTCGCCAGTTAATATGACCTATTGTTATCCCACATCGATAACTAATGTTACTATTAGCAGAATCTCAATGAGATATATGCTCAAATATTATAATTAGAGGATTATGACTCTTCATTTGAAACGCTCCGTAATGCGCTTTCGTGCAAATTTGCCTATAATAATAAGTTAGTACAGTAATGTAAATATATCTATTGTAAATAATAAGTTAAATTTTGGCTCATCATTCCATTTGCATGACGCAATCTTTTGTTGAAATTTTCACATGTGCACATGCTAATCCCGCCGCACTAATGCACTTTTCTCTCTGCACATTTCTTCGCACACAGGTCTGCCCAGGCCTATTTACTTTACAGGTATGTAAGCAGTCAGCAGTAGAAAGTATAGCTTTATCGTTTAAATTGATGTGTATAAGCATTTTAATAATTATAATAATTATAGTTAAGAACACAGCATCATGCAACAAATGTGATGTGAGAAAATTCGAGACACAAACATTCATTATTTGACATGTATAATTTTGCAAATATTATTTCGTTCATATATTATTGCTTTTCTGCTAGTAAAGTGTTGAACAAAGTGGTTTGCCAATGCAAAGAATTGTGATAACTTGTAAGATGTTAAACTCAGTACTGTGTTTACTATGTAGTTCGAGTAATTGTCTTGACATCTACAACATACATCTATAAGTTACAGGTATAACGACTCGCTTAATAGATTTTAATCCGCAGGACCAGGGACCGAAATTCCATTATCCTACATCCGAGTTACCGCAACCAAGTTACGTAGCTTCACGAAAGCGCGATAGACCACTGTATTGCAGTTAAACTTGATTTACAATAATGTGCTCTGTAACATTAACAACCTTTAATGGTTATACATTGCTCCAATTATGTATATATGCTCAACGTGGTATCGGTTTATTGTGTCACCGTCGGCTGTTTCGGCTAATTCCTAATTATAACTGATATAAATAATATAAAATGTGTCAAGTCAAAATATATATATATATATATCTCGACAAATATAAGATATAAAATTAAAAATTATTTTAAAATTAAATATTATTTTCAAAATGTATTCGATACATTAATTAAGCATTAATTAAATCAGCGTTTTATTTTTTAATTATGCGGACGCTTTCTATAAGACACAAACTTTTCGTGGGTATACGCTCAAATATTTTTGTTGCCCTCGACATGCCTGGTAGGCGCTCTTTTGTGCTCTTTATGTTTAGGTAACTTTAATTATTCTTTGGTGAAGTTCCTTTTAAGTTTGAACAACTTTATAAGTAACTTAACTACAGAAACGCCTGCAACACTGAGCCCCGAAGGGCCGGCGGTGAGAAAATGCTGTTAGAAATGGAAAATTTTTACTATTGCTATTAAATATCGTCATAATTAGTTTATATTGAAAACAAGAATTCACAAAATTCTCAGAATATACATCCGTTACTCGTACATATGTATGCGTGATTATTGTATTTGACATCTACTAAACCGAGACACACATAGCACATTTCTTATCGTCCTATCGTCGCAGCTTTTAATGTACATTTATGCTTAATGATAGTAGTACATTGCAATACGCCATTAATATCTCAATTATAGTACTCCATTCAGTATTATTCACTATTTCCTTGTACATTCCTTCGCCTGTAATGGATAATTAATTTTGTCGTGCAATTGCAGATAGATTCTTTGCATGCATAAAATGTAGTGAAAAGATGCCTAATTATTGATACCGCTTAATTGCTCGCGGCATTTCTGATGTGGCCAGACTACAATTTCATGAATACCGCACTGTAAGAGAGAATGATATTGCAGCAAAATGGATGGAATTACACCAATACAATCATTCAATCAATAATCCACAAAATAAATACTAAATTGTTTGAGTTTATCAACGTATGAATTTGTTATTTGAGAAACCAAATATACATGTAGAACTCTTAACAAAATTATGAATTTGCATAACAAAAAATTACAAAGTTTCTCAAAAGTTAAAAGTTTTAAAAAAAAAACTTTTTTAATTTATTGAATACTAACAAAAATAGTTTGGTTTCTTAAATGATCGATTCAATGTAATTAAACACAACATATTATACAGTTACATCGCACGCATTTATGCAAAACAAAATATTATTTATCCAATTTCGTTCACTCTTTTTGTTTAAGTTTTTTTAAAGTGCAATTTGCACTATAAGGAACAATTTGCATTTGATGAAGATAAATATAATGTCTTGCGTTTCCAGATACTGGTAGGGATTCCCCTCCGGAACCTGCGCCGCCGGAAGTGCCGCCGCGCGGACCGTCTTTACACGCAACACATACTTTACGCACGCAACAAAATCGAAATGGTTGCCCACCGAACGCATCAGGAAATTTCACTGTGCCAAGTGATCAAATGCCGACCGAGACGTATTCCGGTGAGTAACTCTACTATTGCATTTGTCCAAATTACACAACACTTTCGATTATTCTACAATACATGTTACTTTCTATTGAAGTACATTTAAATCACTTTTATTTCGCACCAGATCTCTTTAAACTCGCGTGAGTGCGTATTTATTCCTTCATAATTTAGTGTAAACGCGAATGGTGCGAGGGTCCCCATGAAAAGAGCAACATAATGAAAATCGAATCGTAATGTGATCCATTCTGCTAACCCGCGGATACCATTATATAACACGGTTCAGTTTTCAGCGGCGAGTGTTTAATTTGGTGCATACTCCGGTACCGATTATGTAGATGTGCAGATGCGAGAGCGCGTCAGTGTGAGGTATCTGTTTAAACTAATGGGGTGTAGACCATAAAAGCGGGGGGAAGGGGTGAAAGGGGGAGTTTGCATTAAAGCACCCATTAATTCATTGTAAATATACTCAGCGTATATTCGTTTCTCTATATTTCTATGTACATACCATTAGTATATTGCTACGGCTAAACATCGTTTGTACTGGTCGTGACGATCCTGAACATTGCTTCGCACATGTGCATGGAGATTACATATGTGCGATTAACGTATGGTCGCATTCGATTCACGTACCGCTGCGCTAAACACTTGTATAATAATAGAAACGCGATATTGACAAGCGCGATTACTCGTGCGCGATGGCAATTAATGAGACATCGCCAACATCGTAGTTTGCAAAGTTTGATTGTATTTTATTTCTTGTAATTTTATCCATGCAAGCAAACGATTAATTGTATACGCATTGTCCAATTTATCGAAATCACGTTTAAAAAATTGTGCATTATATAATATATCGCGTATGAATTTAAATAACAGATTATTCGAATACCGAAAAATATCGTCGACATCGCGAGTTTATAGACGGAACGAAAAATAAATATACATATATATATATACATCGGAAATGCGTAAACTCGTGGTCTTTGATGGAAATCCAACGAAACGCTATTCGACGCACTTTATTTCCACGGGATCACTCGGATTTTACGCGAAGTGTTTCGCCAGTATATCGAATGCGCACATGGCTCACTATGCTTACATGGGAATTTATTGTAATGTATTCTCGATAATCCGTACCGTTTTAACAGAGCGCGCAAAATTTGGCCCAACGCAGCAGATTCTCTCTCGCTCACAAAGAATACGCCGCCGCGCTCTCGATGTAACGCGATTTATTAATAATATATACTGGTTTCCGTTGCCAATTACTAATTGATGTGAACCACGTGCCGTTATAAAGACTTTAATGTGTAGACAAAGCTTGGGATAACGCTGTGCTTTATGTGAATATAATGTAACCTCACGTTATAAAATATGTATGCGCCGCGTGAAGCATAGTGTACCAAACTTGCTGCTATCTCAGGAAATTATTGAAAGTTATATCGTTCACGCGCATACATATACACACAGCGAGAGACTGGATATATAACGCTACAAAGATGGATAGAGTGTATACGCACACAAATAGGGATGATATTGTAATCCCGTTGTTTCAAGTTCGTCGAACTGTGTCGAAGTGCTAAAACTTTAGGAAAGGAACGAGCGATGCTCGAAAAGTTACGTGAAACGCGATATTTTCCAGATAATATCATAATCGTGAAAGAGAGATAGAGAGGATGACTAACAGACCACGTGAACACACATTGCAATATGCTTATACGAATAATATTTTTTTATACGTGGATAATAAAACCTTTGTCGCTAGTGTACACGTGTTGTTCTGTTTCTACTGCACATTTTCTCAAAACATTTACGTATTTTTCGCTACGGTTACAACGTGTATATAATCAGATTTTTTGTATTTTACACATATTAAATTATGCACGCGAAATTTTATTTTTTCATCTCATGGTCGACATCAGCAGACACGCGATACGGTTTTCTCGAAATTTATGAATAGTACATAGTATTTTTCGTTGGTATCAAATATATATGAACAAATCTCCAGTAAAGAGAACGCAAAAATATATATTTTATTTAAATCGGCACAATCCTTTAAAATTTAAAATGTGCAATATGAGAAAATAAGAAATTACATATAATTTCGATTTATATCGAAAACGTTTCGAAAATTATTTCTGCTTCCTCAATGGTCGACTAAATATTTTCTCGCGAGAGAAAATTTACGTCACCTCCGGGAGTGTCTAGGAAGAGACCGATATTATTATCTAGAGTACTTAAGCTTTGCGTATTTTTGCATAACTGGAAATTAGAAATAATTATTGTTACACCTCGGGGAGCGACGTAGTGTCGTAGAATGGCGATGTCGTGCACAGCACAGATAACTCTCTCAATGCCTTTTTTTCGCAGGATATGCCCATCGAAATTCACATGAGTAAGTAACAATGGATTACTCCAGAGAGATTTCAAACAATTTTTCCGTACCAACGAATGCATTTATATCGAATAAAGATAACAGTTTTATTAATTTGTAAAAACGTTCAACAAAATTTTACAGGATCTTTGTAAATACACCATAGCTCACGGTATCAAGAGATAAGACCGCGATATACATATGTATGTATATATAGAGCTAATAATAACGTAAACTATGCTTACAAAGAGCCAAGCGAGTGTAGCGAGAGAAAGTCATGTAATGAACAGATTGGAGACGCACCCAAACTAAGGAAGTTACGTACAGTTATAGTTAATGACACTTCATAACTTTGCTCTAAGTACAAGTGGCCACCACCATAGTTGTATAAAGTTTACGGAGCGCATGCGAATATTCGCTTGGTCTCTCCACGCATCTCTTTCTCTCATTAACGGATATTTGCTAAAATAATGAATATAATCTCAAATCAACTTTGCCTGTCCAGTAGCTTTACGGTAAATAAGACAACAGCGCCAAATATACAGTACATGAAAATAATTTTATTTTTTTTCTGAAATTAATTAAAATATATCAACGACACGACATTTTCAATTTACAATTTATTAAAGCATATTATAAATTATGTCTTGTATATTCAAAAGATTAATTTAAAGATTTTATATTATCAGAAAGTAGAACGAATCGCTATCTAATCGCTAAAGTATTCAAAATGCGAAACTAATAATGAAACTAATTAATGGAAATGTAAAGTATTATACTAGCGACCAAACTTCAAGATGAATTTCACGTCGTTTGATAATCCTCGCGTACTGTATCAAACTAAACGCGAATTACATCGAAACTAAGCGCGAGGTCATTAGCTACTACTATGAAGGGAGACCGTCATACACCATCACTTTATCCCGGCTGATTTCCCAGAAAGCGCCGCACCGCGATATAATGCTTCAAAGGGCCTCTTTAATCGTTTCGAGTTCCAACAGGAATTTCTACTATCGCTCCTTCTGCTCTTCGAACTTTCGCATCCTGCGAAGGATGAACTCGATCTACGAGCCGTTGTTTGCTCGCGCGAGGGTGAAAGGCGGGCAAATGTTTACCTTCTTCTGGGGTTCCTCGCTTCCTAATGTCTCGCCCCGGTATAGACGCGGCGCGCCGTAAAGTGGACGGAAATTTTATTAGTATAATCGTCGCATTAGCACCGAGGTCATTGCACACGCGAGATAAAGAGAGAGAGAGAGAGAGAGAGAGAGAAACATGAAGCACACGAAGGGGAACACGAGAGGTGTGGAAAATAGCGGGTGGGCCTTGAGGTCGGTCGGTTGACCGGAGAGAGGAACGTAGATAGGGGCGCAAAGACTTTGCGCGCGATGCTTTGTGCCTGCCTGCTAGAATCGCTCTGTATTAATTACCGGCTCGCTAATTACTATTTATTAGAGACTGGTGCGCGCACGCCACGTCGAGCCGAGCCGAGTCGCGCCATTATCGCTCCGCTTCGAGCGAGTACTTACATCGTAGCGTCGTTCCGAGGCAACTTCGTTACGCCGTCGATTACATCTTGCACCGGCGCTAACAAGAACATTCAAGCGATCTCGAACTCGATCCTCTCGAGCATCCTTTAACGCGCATCGATCCTCTTTCATATCCAGATTGTCCCTTTACATCTCTCATGTACAAGACGTACAACGCGAAAAAAAAAATTCGCCCTACATTCTATTCGCACGCTATCGAATAACGAATGCACATTGCATTTTCTTATGTTCTCTAATATCTGTAGATGGAAAGATGCGACGTTTCAAATTTCTCTAATAAGTAAATAATAAAATTTATAGCGCGAATATACATATATTTAAAGGCACGGCCGCACCCGCGTGTAGTTACTATGAAAGAAGAAAGTTTACGACGGCGATAACGCGTACCGTGACAAATTGCCTTTAACCTATTGCGCGGCTTAAGGATGCAAGATACATCTCCGGCGATAAGTAAAACGAGCACACCAGCGACGAGAATATAATAGGACGCTTTTCCACAATTTATAGAACGTTCAGGATGTTATAGGAGGAACATACAAAAGCATATAGTCTCATCGACTATTAAATTCTCACTTTGCGCGGACGAAACCTGCTTGCCGTTCTTGAAAATTCAGCAGTATTTGCTTCATAGCTGCCTAAAGCTTAATTACAAATTAAATATTGTAGTTAATATTATTGGCTAGTTAATTTTAAAATATAAGTTGTATTAAAATTCGAAAGCTTCAATTAGTGAAAACCAATAAATAGAATAAAAAAAAGAATTGGATTAAAAAATAAAAAAAATTGGGTTAAATAATAAAAGGAATTGGATTAAAAAATAGTTAAATTCAATGTTTGTCTAAATAAAACGTGATAAAAATGTTTAAAATTCTAATCAATTTTTTTAGTATATTTTTATACTAAAAAATCTAGTCAATCTGTAATTCTGTTTGAAAAAATTATATTTAATGGACCTTTATTTCGTAAATATTTTATTAGCTCATATATTTTATTCGTAAAGCCTCATTAAAGGAAAATGCGACGTCAATTATCAGCGCTTTTGAACAGACTATAGAGATATTGCTACAATTATGCATATAAAATAGCATTATGTATAAT